TTGTGATTTGTGATTAGAAGGAATGTAGTAATTTGGTGGTTGCGGGAATTTAACCAGTGTAGTTGTTTAGTTAAATATTTGGGTTGTGTCAACCATAGTTTGGATCACTAGGGGTAGAACTAGATAAGTATTACTTCTTTCTACTCCCTTGCAAGCATGTAATGACTAAGCATCATCAAGAGAAATTTCTATTTTTTGGTTGTATATGGTAATTGGTTTGGTTGTTTTGTGTTACATGTTGATTTCTTTTTTTTTTTTTCTTTTTCTTTTTTTTTCTCTCTGTTTTTTTTCATGCTTGGAATTAATTAATAAAAAATTAAAATTAAAAAAAAAGTTGAATTGGGACAAGAAAAAAAACCATTGCCAAACATTTCACTATAAAATGTATACTAGTGATGTGTTGTTGCCGAACAATTCGTTCTTTTTGAATCTTACTAATTTTTAAAGATTGGTACACCTTTAGTGTCTTCTGTTTCGAGTCGTTCGTTTTTGTAACGTGATATGACCACTTTGTTGAATACAGAGATTAATTTTCAACCATCTTTACAGTTTTTTTACTCTTAATTTATGTGATGCATTTATTTTTATTATAAAATAGCTTTTTATTTCCTACAGAGTATAATTATGTGAATATGTCAATATGGTTATTTTCCATAACACTGAAAGTTTTAATAAAGAGTTGGTTAATGCTTTAAACTTCATCAGGGAAAATCTTTACTTACTTACGTATTTACTTTTATTTAAGTAGATGGGGAATTAACATGTAGCATATTAATTACATTCTGCTGAAGTGAACGAAATGACTCGACAAAAAGATTAGTTCATTTTGCTGAATGAGATTCAAAAAACCGAATCAGTAAAATGATCCGAACTTCCCATCATTTGGAAACGAACAGGAAGTGGTTCTTCTTCGCCTATTTCAGTTTGCGTTCCTAACGACGTGTATCAGTGCAGCTGCCCCCTAACGGACAAGAGACAGCATAACACTTTAAACTGTTAACATTAGTGGTTGTACAATCAATGAGCTGCTGCACTTAGGTGAAATTTTCAGGTACTTATAGCTTACTTGACTATTTACATGGTATGTTAGTTTATACCTCTACTTCACATTTCAGATGTAAATATAGTTTTTCTTCTACACATTTATTTTACTCACTTTGCAAATTAAGCGCCCACATACACAACATATGAAGTATTTTTAAATTAGCTCCATCTAGACCAGCTACAACATTCAACTGCCCCCAGCACATTACACATTCGTATTAACAACTCCCATAATAGTAAAATGACACAAATCTGATTTTTAAATATATAAGTAAAAACCGTAGATAGCGAAGTTGTGTAACATTTTTCTTTGCTTTTATCTCCTGCACTCTATTTACATTGCACTTTTTTGTATGCAGACTCAGATATGCACAGCATATTCCTATGTACCTGTACCATCTGTACTTGTGTAAATGGCAAATAAATCATACTTCATAAAAAAGTATTTAAGATCAAGAGATCAAAGATTTTTTATTGTCAATTCACTATGTGCAGGACATACAGAAAAATCAAAATACTGTTTCTCTCACTGTTGAAACCTACATTTGTTTCTTGCTACATATAACTGAAAATGTGTGAGATAGCTGCATTTTTTTTTACTTATTTTCACTGAATTATCTATTACTCTTGCTATAAATGATTTGCTTGTGGTTTGTGGTGGGAATTTACTTGGACAGGACT